CAGGACGAGCCAGTCGTCGAGGTAATTAACAATACGGACTCCCATCTGTCTCAGATGGGAAAGAGCCGCATCCATGCACTTCGTAAAGGTGCGGGGGGCCAGGGACAGCCCGAAGGGAAGGACCGTATATTGATAAGCCACACCCTCGAAGGTGAATCTCAAGAATGGCCTGTGACGAGGGGCTATCTGGATGTGAATGTATGCATCCTTCAGGTCCAGGGAAAAGAACCAGTCTCTCGAGCGAATTTGCGCGAGGATCTGTTTCAGTGTAATCATCCTGAACGACCTCCTTATGAGGGCGCGATTCAGGTGTCTGGGATCGAGGATGGGCCGGAGGCCACCATCTCTTTTGGGGACGAGGAAGTAACGGCTGTAAAGGCCTGACTTGCTCTGGGCTGGAGGAACCCTTTCCACGGCTCCTTTTGGCAGCAAATTCATCATCTCTGAGTGGACATGGGAGTCCTTGCTCTGCACGGAGGTGGGGACCACGCCGCTGAAGCGCAGGGGTCTTCGAGCGAATTGGAGTGAATATCCTCGCTTCATTATGCCCATAACCCATTCCGACACTCGGCCCGCGTGACGAGGGGTTGAATTAACTCGGGTGACTGTCCGCATGGGGGCAGAACATGTACAAGTGATGGAAGAGGAAGTTTGCTCTCTTTTTGAAAATGTTTGTGTTTTATTATTTTTCCCGCTATCACAGCGGTCGGATGCTTGGGCGCATGAAGGAGCCCGTTGTTCGCACAAAACACATTTCCCTCTGTACCCGGAGCTGAACGGGGTGTCAAGAGGTGTAAGAGAGGCTGCCTGAGAGGCGGTCCGGCCGTGGCGAGATCTGACCACATCCTCTTCCTGTCTCGTGGATCAGGATGACGCCTGAGGCGCTGGGTCCAACGCAATCTTGGGTCGGGGTCCCTGGTGCTTAGGAGGAGGGTAGCGTCTGGCCAAGCGAGAGCGTCCCCGCTTTAGCGGGCTGAACAGCTGGGGTGGCAGGTGCTGGTTTTGTAGGCTGCTGAGTCGGCGCAGATTTTGGGCGAGCTGTGTCGCATAGCCTAGGACGATTTCTGTGCCTCCGTGAAGCGTTCAGCAAACCCTTTGACTGCTGGGCCGAAAAGGCTCTTGGGGGAGACAGGAGCATCGAGGAAGGGGATCTTATCCGCGTTCTTCATCTCAGTCAGCGTCAACCATA